ATTCGACTACAGACTGACAGACATGTTATGTAATGTAAAAGGAAACTATCTATCCGAAATCCATCCGCGCAAGCTTTTAGGGAGATGCCACTACACTTATACCCATTCAAAATTTATGATGATATATCGCAGAGATGATAATTATGCACTGCTTAGAGTTAATAAATATGTAATTATGTGTTTTGTTCGTAAGACTTCAACAAAACTCTTCTCAAACTTCTTCTCAAAAACGTGAACTCTTCGTTATGTAAAGAGAGCTGACGATCAAATTGAACTGAAACGCTATAGAAGCTTTCACTATACTAATCTAAAAACACGTTATCAAAAGATTTTTGAAGCCGTAACGCCTTACATTTGTAGTTTAAGATACTTTTCACTTTTTCTTACATTTTTTTCAATTTTTTTTTATATATACTATTTCGTCCAAAAGGCAAGGTCAAGTTAACTTTCTCTCTTTCAATTCTATTCATTATTCCAAATCTATTTCGTCCGCTTTAAAGTTAACTCGCTTAGATAGAATATACTTCTGCCAACTATTTTCCCAATCCTCGAAGCCATTGTAATAGTCGAAAAGGCCTACAAAGCTTTCTTCGATTATCACCTCAAACGAGCCAAACCGCTGTCACCGAAGTGGTGTTTTTAGTTTAGCGAACAGCCCGAAGTCACATGTGGCTACATCAGGGGAATGCATTGATTGTGGAACGATGTGGGTTGAATTTTTAGCCAAATGGTCTCGAAGAATCCATACATGTGTATTTTTTTTTTTTTTTTTAATATACTTCTTATGACTGATTATCTTGTGCAACTATACTTTTTGATAAAAAAAAATCGAAACTCTCTGGTTAACAAAATATTTTTTTTTTTCCCCGTCCCTTCAGAAAAGGACACACAATAGATTTCCGTAAAATACTTTTTATTTCTATTTTGCATATTTTCGGTATTACATAAGCTTTACATTAGGCTTGGTCGTTGAGTCGGGAATAACACTTTCATGATAATTCGTACGATCGTACGGCAGCGGGTATGAAAAAAACTTTTTTTCTTTTATATTGCACAATACATAGAACTATTTACCAGAGAAGAAACATAGATGATCCGTACTATATATTAACGCATAAAAATATTTAAAAACTTTTTATGTGATTAAGTTATAATTTATTATTGAAAAAATGACTCAAAATATATTCAAAATACGTACGAAATTAAAACAAAATATATGAAAAAATAGAGAAAATATAAATTTTAATTAAGTATTCCATATTAAGACAAAATTTATGTATGTATATATATATATATATATATACATATATATATATTTGTATATATGCATATGTGTGTGTATGTCTAACACATTTTATATATATACATATATATATACATGAAGCTCAAACTCAATGTCTGTGTTTTGTAATATAAATCAAGTGAAATTGACTACTTGTGCTCTGTGTGTATGTAGATCCTATTAAAATAGTGTTTTTTTTTTTTTATAAAAAAAAAAATCCGAAAATAATTAAACTAAAAAACTTAATATTTCTCCCCTTTGTAAATTATAGTATACTTACGTAAGTACGTATATACGCATGTATGTATTTATGCATGTATGCATGTATGTAGACCATAAGCTGCGCATATTATTTTGACCAGAATATGCAAAAAAAAATTCTCAGTTTCTATGCCACAAATAAACATTGTATGTGACAGGACAACGCTTCGGACCTTGTAATTGTAATTTTATTTAGTCAAAGTATAAAAACATACACTTGCAAATATATATATATATATATATATATATATAAATGTAAATATTTATATATATATATATGCATATATTAATACATATATATTTATATAAATATATTTATATGTATATATATAAGTACATTTATATATATATATGTATTTATATATACAATATAAAATAAATAATAAAATAAAACATTTAAATAACTTTTATGATTAAGCATTAACTAATATATATTATATTATTACTATTAGTATTATTATTAGAATTTAATAATATTGTATAGAGAGAAGAGACAACCAATCCCACATACATTAAGACACACGTACACGTACGCATACACATACACGCACACTTTTAAATTTAAAATTTCAAAGAGTTTTTTAAAAATTTAACCAAAAGTGTCATTGTTGTATGGAATAATATTGAAGACAAGAGAAAAAACAAAACAAAACAAAATTACAAAAACCAAACCATGAATAAAAGAAAGTTAATTTAACTGAAAAATCCCAAATTTTCATAGTTTTTCAATTCGTAACCTATTGAACTGTTAATAACAGTTGCGGCAATATTAACAACAAAAATTGCTTAGTGTACAAGTGACTCGTACTAGCGGGAGATTTTCGAGAGATTTGTTTGAGAGTAACCTTAACGGAGAAAGGGAATTGAATGGGTTTTAACGATTGATCCCAAATTGCGAACTATTTCCAAAAAACTTTACTACACCGAGAATGCTGTGTGATAATAAATATATTGATATGATCTCGCCGGCGCAGTACTAAAACGCAAACGCGTTAAAGCGTTAAACGTGACTCCATGCACGATCTCCTCAACACTTAAGAGGCGTTTTTTTCGCAAATGTGTGGAGATATGTAACAACAAAATTGATAATTACATCAAAATTCATTCGCAGACTACATATTTTGGCATTTTTAAATGGATTATATTTTAACAGGAACAAGAGCAGTTGGGCGATTTCGAGATAGATGTCCTCCTCTTTGCAATCTTAAATGCCGGAACAAACTACCGTCTGCCGGAAACATACGCTTTTCTGGGCCAGCTTAGCTTGTAATCCTTTTACTCAACTCAGCGAGTCATCTGTTATTGATTTGCTAACTACGTTGATTTGTACTAACGTTCCCGTTATTTAAAATGAGTGAAGACTTGTAGACAAGCACCTCCGAACACTAAATATCCTACGCTCACATCATCTAATACGATACTCTACACCTTATACGGTGTCAGATTTAAAAAATAGACCCGCATGGTCCAAATTTGCTACATTTAATTTCTATGTCTAATTACCAGTAAGGAGCAATTTTCAACCGCAAAATATAAAAAATTTGACTTTTTCCCTTACAAAAACTTACTTTTTCTCGGAACCATTGTATTGTCTTGTATAGAAAAACCAATTTATCTTGTCCAAATATGCCAAGGTTGACTCTAATGTCAACTCTCTGCTATCGATCAATTTTCACGATGCAAAATTAAAAATTGAAACATTGTGCTGCATAAAGTCTATCTTTCCTTAAGAAGGGTTATAAGGGCAGATATTAAAAAAATTGGCGAAACTGGTGGTGATAGCAAAAGTAGTATGACTTACTTCATTTCCAATAACTTCGTTCTTGGGCCAAACGGGCCCTACGGACCAAAATTTCGCCGAATAACTCAAAAATTGCGAACTAATGATTGAAAGGCAAAATACGTTAATAGGCAGTAGACAGACCAGGTAAAAACGATTCTAAAGGTAATTCTGCATTAATGGGTACAATAAAAAGTTTGGTCCATCTTAAGGCACTTCAAGGTTAATGAATCTTTAAAAGAAATTGTTATTTATACCGCTTAGAATACTTTTTACTTTTTAGCTAAGCGATCCTTGTAAGCAGATCACTGGCGGCGGCGAGACAAAGTTGCGATTTTAACACCTGGCGTTACTTGTATTAGACCCGGAAAACAATCAGCGGATTGGCAAACAATGACAACTACAAAATCTATATTAATTCCATCGATGGCTACTTTACGGGATGCCTCTTTATATGTATGGTCAACTAAATAAGCAAAGACTGACATTTCAGGTAAAAGAAACATTTCCCGTAATTTTCTAAAGTTTTCCTGGCTTTCTCTTAATGCCTGCAAAATATTGCATCCCGAAATAGTATCAGCGATTACCACTTCACCCAGCGGGCAATTTTATAAAGATCTCTACCGCATTGCAAAGAGTCAGTTCGCCGATGTCAGCAAATTTACGATCCTCCATTATCAGGAAAATATGTCGTTCAGCCGTCGCTAACAAACTTTCATTGAATTCATTATTAAAATCTTCTAAAGTGTCGAGATGGGTTTTGAAAAGGTATATATAAGGACCCCATTTAACAGCTATTTCCAAAACTTGGGCGCATTTTGAAAGGTCGCAGCTAAACATAAATTCGTGTATTTTGTGGTCATTAACTTAAATGTTTCTTTAGTCACTTCAAATTTAGTTAAGTTCGGTCGTATTTCGTAAGACATTGCACTTCGAGCGAAATCGCTCCTCACTGAAATGATGAAAAACAAATAATTTTGTAAATTGTTAACGTAAATTTAGCAGATCGAAAGGCGTAATATTTCCTGTCTTCCCGTAATTTACCAGACCCTAATGTATAAATTTAACTTAACTTTTTTTTACTGTTATCTACCAAATTACCGATACTGCCTATTTGTACTTCGGCAATATATATATATATATATATATATTTGCTATAGGGAAAATCTTTGTTAACCATAAACATCTATAAGTAATCTCAGTTAAAAATATCATGCCTTGAGAATAGAGAGAGAGAGAGAGAAGTCTAGAGTTACCCGTCGAATATCGGCGAATTGACGTCGACTTTGATGTTGAAATAACCAAATTCAAATGCATTAATTTCATATAATTTGGGCATCAATGATTTTTTAGGAATCATATTCTTTATAAAATATAATTCTGCAATTTTCGATATATTGCGAACAATTGTTTCGTAAATTACTAATCACTTTTATTAAAAAAGAAAATCGTTATTACAGTGAGGATAAGCAACTAACAGTTGCACAATCATAAGTTTAAATAGCAAACCGAAATGAAATGAGAGCGCAAATGTCATATGTTTTCAGCGATTTCATTCCATCTATTTCATTCCATCTATTTCATTCCATCCATTTCATTCATACATGTTTAAACTCGACATCTACATATATGTTGGATCATTCTGATTGCTTTTCTTTTCCTTTCTGGAGTTTGTTTTTAAACGTTTCTATTCTCATTTAATAAATGAAAACATTTTCAAATTTCAGAAACTACTCCAAAAACATTTTTAATTACTTTAACTACTTTGCTTCCGCTTAAACTTCAAAAATGCCACAGCTGTTTTTTAAGGAATGAATTCTATTGTTAAGAACTCAACATAAATTGCATAAAAATGAATCAAGTTCTCCGTTGGAAAAGTGGCTTTCGGTTTTACTCAATTAAATATGCCGGAAAAGAATCTATTAAATACACAAGTACAATTAATTTACCAAGAACTAAATTCCCTACGCGTCTAGCACAAAAAGCCCGTATAGAAATTGAACGAAATTTAATTGAGGTGAGAGAGAAAAGAAGACCTTTTAAGTGTTTATGTTTTCATTCACATTTTCGAAGGTCCTTTTGAATGTTCGAATTTTTGTTTAAAATATGTAGTCAAAAATTGCGTCATGCTACCAATATCAAGAAGAACGACATCAAGGTGCCGCATTTATATTACATGATGGACCCCCCTATGCTAATGGAGATTTGCATATGGGCCATGCTGTTAATAAGGTATGTAATTAAAATGTTCAAGATGACATAGTTTTAAAAGTTCTCGCTCTTTTCCAGATATTAAAGGACATTACCATAAGGAGTCATGTGATAAGAGGTCATAAAGTTCACTACATACCCGGTTGGGATTGTCACGGTTTACCTATTGAATTAAAAGCTATGGCTGCAGCTAATGCCGGCACAAAATCTATGAAAGATCCGGTTATTATACGAAAAAAATGTAAGCGTATTTAAGTATTCTGTTACGTGTTTCTTATCTTCGACAATTGCAGCTCGTCAGTTTGCTTTAGATGCCATTGAGAGGCAGAAAAACCAATTTCGCTCTTGGGGAGTTCTAGCCAATTGGAATAACAAAAGCAAAGTGTATTTAACCTTTAATTCAAACTTTATTGTAAAGCAGTTGAATTTGTTTTTGGATTTGTATGAGAAGGGGCTGGTTTACCGTGACTTAAAACCAGTATATTGGTCTCCATCTTCAAAGTAATGCACTATAGTCGCTTAACATTTAATATATATTCAAAAAATTTGTATTAGGACAGCATTGGCTGAGGCTGAACTCGAATATGATGCAAATTTTGTTAGTCCTTCATTGTATGTAAGGTTTCGTTTGACAAATTTTCCAAATGCCATCGCCAAAGAATCGTTTAAAAATATATTTGCGCTAATTTGGACAACCACCCCGTGGACATTGCCCAGTAATCAAGCAATTTGCTACAATTCCAATCTAATGTATGCTTTGGTGAAACTGGAGTCGGATAATAACCAAATCCATGAGAAGGACGAAAATCGTTACTTAATCGCGCAAAGTTTATTAGAGGATTTTCAAAAGACTACTAATAAAATTTGCGTAGTTGAACAATTAATTCAAGGTTTGTTACATTATATGGAATCTAATTGTGTATGATCAAGAAGTGATTTTGTAAAGGGCACGAGCTGAAAAACTGCACTTACCAGCATCCAGTTTTTCTGGAGCAACAATCCTTACCATTTTTTGATGCTGCACATGTCCAAGAATTCAAAGGCACTGGCTTAGTTCATACTGCGCCCGCACATGGTCTGGATGATTTTATTATATGTACGAAGAACAGTATATCTATCGTAAGCACATTATAAACAATTTCTCATTTGAATTTTTTGCACACTTATTATGACACTTCTTCGCTTTTTATTAAGAGATCAATAATAAATGAAGAAGGAATTTACGACGACGGAGCACCTAGTTACTTAAAAGGTAAAACAGTCCTGGACGATGGCAATGAGTTGGTGATGAAAAATTTGAAAAAAGATATTGTATTTGCAAGCACTTTAACGCACAGTTATCCAATCGACTGGCGCACAAAAAAGCCGGTCATTATTAGAGCCAGTCAACAATGGTTTATAAATACTGCTGCTCTTAAAGACAGAGCTGTCGAAGAGGTTTATAACGAAAAATCAGTTTCTCAATCGTAAATTAAATACAATTTACTTATATTTCAGATTGACAAAATTGTGGTATATCCGCGAGTAAATGCGGAAGCAAGTAAAAAGTCACTGAAAGCACAAGTCATGAAACGACCGTATTGGTGTATATCACGGCAAAGGGCTTGGGGTGTTCCTATACCAGTTCTTTATGAAAAAACTTCCGGTAAAGTGTTGTTAAATAAGTAAGTAATTGAGAAAGTTGTTTTGAATTCTAAAAGCAACGTATTCTTCTCTCTCTAACGTAGAAAACTACTACAACATATTTGCGATTTAACAATCAAAGAGGATAACATTGATTTTTGGTGGTCGCAGTCGATGGAAAAACTCTTGCCACCGTTCCTTCTGAATGAATTCAATGTAAAAGCTTCTGATGTAACGAAAGGAGCCGACATTTTCGACATATGGTTTGATTCGGGCAGTACGTGGTCTCAGGTTCTCGAAAATCAACAAGCAGCTGATTTATATTTGGAAGGTTGTGATCAGTTTACCGGCTGGTTTCAGTCTTCTTTATTGCTTAGCATAGCCGCTAGAAACTGCACCCCTTATAAGTGAGTATTATTGAATTTGAGTATTGGTCGACTTTCGTATCCGAACACTTTTTCTATGGTATAGGGCTCTATTTATTCATGGATTTGCTGTAGATGAAAATGGTCACAAAATGTCTAAATCTTTGGGAAATATTATATCTCCAAAAGACATATCAGCCAAATACGGAGTAGATTCCTTACGGTAGGTTAAAGGTTTCAAAATTCGTCATCTAACAATTGTTTTATAAGTAAATATCAATTTTCCAAACATATGAGCATTTGTTAATAAGAGGAAAAAGATAAATCTCTTGAGCAGTCAATCTACGTTAGACCACTTAATACATAACATGTTTCAGATGGTGGGTAGCTGCACATGGAACTCAACATATGGCAATTAATGTAAGCCATCAATTGGTACAACAGTCTGCCGAAAGTTTAGGCAAAATTAGGGCAATTTTGCGTTATCTTAATGGATCCATTGAGGATAAATCACTCAAATCATCAAATATGTTGACAACAACAGCGGAATCATATCTGAACCGTTTTCTGTTAAGCCAACTTTATAATTTTGAAAAAGAGGTGAGGAAATCTTAGAATTGTACACAAATATTTATAAATATTTCAATACCGCCTCGATCGATGTTCAATTAATTGTAGGTGTTCTCCTTGTATGATTGCTGTGAATACAATCGCGTAATAGCCTGTATCCAGAATTTTGTGACCAATCAAATTTCCGCGAACTATATTCACTTAATCAAGGATCGGTTTTATTGCGGTACAACGAAAGAAATTGAAAACATACGCTTTACCTTAAAACAGTGCTACACTCTTTTATGTAAAGCTCTGTGGCCAATTGCCCCACTATTGGTTGAGGAAAGCTGGAGTTATTTTGGTAAGTACTATTTATAAAGTCGACGTAGACACAAAAAGCAAGTAGACTCTTCTGAAAATGCTGTTCTCTAAATTTCAAGATGATTCGAAAAGTTTCTACGAAGACAAGTTTCAAGCGGAACCTACTTGGAAGGATGAATCTGTTGAAGAGGTCATGGAAAAGGCTCTGGAATTGAAACGTGCCCTGAATCAACAAACCAAATCGAAGAATTCGTGGTTGTTATCCCTTCAAGTGAAATGCGGCGAAAGTACTTTGAATTTATTGAAACGGTTGCATCCCTCGTTGAACACATCTTTAACAGAATCAGAATTATGTGAGATTTTGCAAGTGAACTCGGTAAATCTTCAAAGTTTGACTACCCCTA